ATTATTTAGCTATATACTGGATGATCCCCAATTTTTCTATATCAATGATGTAAATATTGTGACAGCCACAAACGCAAAACTTGGGGGGTATAGTTAATCGTTTAATTTCTACAATTAAACAGTAACCAATATCTACTGTCAAACCAGAAACTTGTTAATTAAACTATATTATTTATTGTTATACCAAGACATATTTTTGTAAAGTTTTTTTTTGATGATCATCGTTTGCTAATTGAATTTTGTCTATGAATTCACATGGCTAGACAGACATCGAGTATATAACCAGAAATAACGACGAAAGAGACGAAATAAGGGCCATCCATTCCTGGCAACTCATCAGGAAAATGGAACTTATATCACTTTTAAATATCAACTCTCGTTTGCACTGAAATCACAAATTAGAAAGCTGAAATAGTACAGCGCCAAAAACTGACCTGTGTGTACGTCTCCATATATTCCAAAAATATTCTGTGTTTATAGTAATAAAGATTATGGTGGGCTATTTCATCCGCTGGTGTGAGAAAAACAGCAAAACATGTAATTACAAAACAAACGGAATCACCTTTCATCGGTAATTAAATATTAAATATGTAATTTTGCAATTTTCATCCATTATAGTAAAGTTCAAGTTAAACTGGTCTTTTTGAAGTGAAACAATTGACGACACCCGTCAATTGTTTCGAATTTGGGCTGGCCAATTGGAGCGCAGTTGATACCGTAATGATTCGGCAGAATAGTTTTCAAACAAAAGACATTTCGTCTCTATTTCTGGTTATATACTCGATTCTTGCAGAATTACAGAGACCGTATATAAACGAAACATTCAATGTTGCTGTAGTTGCGGTATAGGTACCTACAGCAAAATAAGCCTTGAGATAAACATCTGAATTTCCTCGAAAAGGTTTAGTGTAGTACGTGTGCGTTCGTCGCAACTATACCTACCACCAGTTTGACTATCAGTGTAGTCGGTATTTTCGTACCTACCACCAATTTCTCTGTCAGTGTAGGCGGTAATTGTGTTGAACTTTTTTCATCTAAAGTATTTGTGAAAAGTTCACGTTTTTTACAAGTGATATATGCTATTTACTAACAATATAATACCAAATTATTTTTTTTCTGAGTGTTCGATCTTTGTATTAATAATTATAACTAGTGTAGTTATAATTCCATAAAAATTTAAAATACAGCGAATAGTGACATCGACTCGCCAGGACTGGTAACTGTAAAGGTACTAACTGAGTGACAAATCTTTCATAGATTTGTCATAGATGGCGCTACGACTAAAAAGTCGTCGAAAAAACCAAATACAAAGACACGACGCAAGCACCTAGAAAAATTCGTGGGGTCCACTGGTTCGTTCCGTTGCTTAGCTGGTATAGCTTCTGGCACGGTAGGCTAGAAGACGTCGGTTCGAATCCGGGCGGATCGAAGGATTTTTTTCTGAGTGTTCGATCTTTTTATTAATAATTATAACAAACTAGTGGAGTAATTTCACAAAAAATAATTGAATATAAATTCAATAAAACTTAAAATATAATATCTACTTACGAGATGTACAAAAATTTGTCATAAAAGGTAAATAGATAGATAGATAAACACTTTATAGCTCACACACAAGAACATTACATAAACAACTTAAAACTAACCCCCCGTTCACACGGCATTGCACCGCACGTTTTTGCAGTATTCGATGTGCATTTGTATGTGTGTGCGTTTTTTTGCAGAGCAAGCATCGTGTGAACGGTTCTATGTCTAAAGTATACGCCACTGTTTATTCGGTTCGGATCTATACTGCAAAAAAATGTGCAGTACAATGCCGTGTGAACGGGGGTAATGCGGGCAAAGGCGGTCTTATCGCTAAGAGCGATCTCTTCCAGACAACCTTTGAGGTAGAGGAAAGCTAATCGGAGCGGGAGACGTAGTTTGCCTATTTTACAGATAATAATAAAAATTAATTGCGTAAATAAAAAAAAATCAAATAATTAATAAATAGCGATATATTATACCTACATAAATATAAGTATATATAAATATACCTAAATAAACTTATACTTATTAATAAGTATATAGGTACACGTTGCAGACTATGACCGTGTTGGAAGATATTTACGCAACCCGGTTTCGAAAATACGGAGCGACTTAGAATATCGGATTTCATATGGGAAATGGTTCCACAATTGTGCAGCCATAATCGTAAAGGAATCTTTGTAATAATCAGAGCGAGCGAAATGAGGCTTCAGTGGGTTATCCACTTTTGACCTTAGTTCACGGTTGTGATCATCCCCGAGGAAGTGAATACGATCCTTATGGCGGGGTAAAAGCCTGGAGTTATACTAAGCGTTCATGATAACTAGTGCAAAAAGCCTTAAACAGTGGCTACATTTATTAATAATTTTGTCTCATATCTATTATTGACATATTTCCGTAATTCTATAAAAAGTAAAGACTAGGGTCATCCTATCTGCTAATCAAACGTGGTAAGTTAGATAAGATAGCTCTGCTATCAACAATATCAGTGTATTTTGCAGGGTCAGTACGTGTACAGGTTTCGGTATTGAGTGGCGAATGTTGATTCCAGTAGATTTGAAGTGACAATGAAAAATGAAGACATTTTTGCGGCGAATAAGCGATTGTTTAAGTGCATTGAAGACACTATTATGTTGTTGTTGTGTAAGTGTTGGATTTATAAAAGTAACGGCTATTTATTATTCTTGCATTATTCTTTATCATATTATACAAATTACTTACGTTACACATATATTACTAATCACGGCACACCTCTAGCACGATAAATCTACAGAATAGAGATGCGTGATTGCGAACGTTTTCGAGTAATTTTCAGGTAAGCTTTTTGTACTCAATTTTGGTGACAATTTCTTTTTATTTAAATATTTATAGAATATCACGATGAAGTATCATTTAATATTCGAGTGTGGTAACCTGAAATATTCTTTAATATTTGACGATGATACATTCGAGTAATTAAATAATAAAAATTGTCACCAAAATTAAGTACAAAAAACTTACCTGAAAATTACTGTTTCACTATTCGACTCGTTAGTAATTACTAATCCTGTCATTCGGATGACCAATTAGTAACCTTCTCGTTTTCGTATCTGACAACGCACAACGATAGGTACTCGTGACCACCTTGCCCTTGCTGACATATGGTAAATACCCGAAATGTGACGTGAACAGGGATTCCCGGGGCACGTGAACAGGGGCGCCCGTCACCCTGAGACATAAGTTGACAAGTTCCATGAGCCTGTACGTAGCCAATCGCAGCAGTCGCTACAAATCTCTTTTGCATATATTTTATAATCTCTTTGAGTTTCAGTTTATACTTAAATTCTAAATTTAAACTTGATTGTTTTTGGCGCCTTTTCGTGATTTGTTTTGGGCTGTTTTGCTTTGTTAGCGACATACGTGTTTTTTAAAGAAAATTATTTAACTGTAAGTATATTTGCTACAGTCCGCTACATTGTAATTTCACCATCACCCTCCAAAACCGGAACACAGTAATGCTGACATTACTGCTTGGCGATAGAAATAGGTAAGGTGGCAGTACTACCCTGAACGAACTATTTCACAGGGAGCTATACTGATAGGGATATTTTGATATGGAGATGGAGATGATGAATGATCAGGTGGAGTTCCGATATGATAATCATTTGACTCGTGCACCCGACCGAATGACAAGGACATTCGGTATCGGTAATCATTCGGCACGAGTCGAATGATTGTGCTAGGATTCGACTTAGGCGAATGATTTGTCCATTCGAATGTATATTATAGTATTAGCAACACTCAAAGGCGCGCATCACTATTACAGAACAATACGCTCGCAATTCAGGATAGTTAGTGTTTGAAAAGTTTTGTGAATTGTCTCAAATATACACATTTTTTATATCTACAATAATCTGAGTATGAGTTTAGTCGTAATACATGATGATGAAAATTAGGTAACTAAGTAATCACGTGACAACATTTAACATCAGATGAGAAACGAACAAACAGTTTATCGGCACGAGGAGTATAAGTTAACAGATATCGCGTGAACAGCGCGCCCTCTTCGCGAAGTTCAGGTTTCGTTCACTACTTTCAAAGAAATCTATAAATTGTACAGAGACGTAACTTACAAGTCAGTTTTTCAACACATGCTCAATTTCGAGACATTGAGAGTCGTATTCTAGAACTCTACTCAATGCTTAAGTCAGGACTTGAGTATGATTCAAAGCACTAGAAATTATACTCAAGTCCCTGCCATTAGGGTCGTATTTCCAGTGCTTGTGTTGCCAGTGCAATCCTGACTTGAGCATGAATAGAGTTCTAGAATACGACCCTAAGGGTCGTATTCCAGAATTCTACTCAATACTCAAGTCAAGACTTGAGTATTGCAGTGAGCACTGAAAATCATACTCAAGGCCTTGCCATTAGGGTCGTATTTCCAGTGCTTGAAATCATACTCAAGCCTGCTCAAATCCTGACTTGAGCATTGAGTAGAGTTTTAGAATACGACCCTAAGAGTCGATACTATCTCAGCTTGAATTCAAATTTTTCCCGCACTAATCCGTTAATTTTTTTTAGGCAGGGACGCTGGCTTTATTTCAGAATGTATTTTTTCACAAACGAAATTAAAGCTATTTAAAAATGTATATCGTATAGTATACATGTTCTATTTAGTTCAGTCGATATAAAAAAAAATATTGGTCTAAGTAAACTACCTATTGAATACAGCGGTTTTGTAGTAAAATTTCGAGGTAACTTTGTGTTTTTTTTCTATCGTGAAAATTTTCAGAAATCGTGTTTTCACATCATATAATATCCTCAGCGTGTATCCTCAATTTTACTATGTATTTTTCCAAAGTGATTTATTCAACACTCTCACGGTTATGCGGAATTAACCAAAGCCATTTGAGGTTGCTTAACTTTTTAAATGGACGTCAGCCTTAAATCAATGAATGGATAAGATTAGGTACTAAATAGACATCGCAATTAAAGTTTATACTATGCCGAAGTCATAAAGATTGTTAGATGTAGCAACAAGAAATGACAATACGATATGAATAGACAGTTTTTGCAAGGCTATTCAGGGCTCGTAACGTGTAGTTTACGATCTTATGTAAAAATACCGTCTTGTAATGTGCCACGAGTTGTACGATTTTTTGCTTCTGAATCGATGCACAGATCGGATCTTGTGCTCTTGAATCGAAAAATTGTTTCAAAATTAACTTTGATAAAAAAAATCTTAAAATATTTATCATCATTGTGCAATTGTGCAAACTGTCTTCCTTGTATACTGTCATCGTTATGTTTTGCTCTATCATCAACTTTATACTAATAATTACAATGTAGAGTGAATAGCTAGAGTGAATAGGCATTTTTTAGACAAACGCGTTCCATCGTCGCTTAACATCAGGTGAGATAGTGGCCAAGCGTGTTTTTATTATTATGTTTCTATTACAACTTCTAGCATCGATACAAACGCGGATTTGTGAAACGAGACATTGCATAGCGATTTATAGTAGGGATGCACTATTTTTTTGATTATAATCGTTTTTTTGGATCGTAACGGACCATATGCCTCTGAATCGATTGAGCTCTTGAATCGATCTCATAAAAATTGTTTCAAAATTTATTTCGATAAAAAGTAATCTCGACAGCCCATTTCGGCCTCTGTCGGTTACGACTTTCATTTATAATAATATTAGCCAGTGAGAAAAGATGTACAGGCGGCACAAAAGTAGCCATAATTGTCAAATATGGACTTTTCTTACAGACTAACATAGAATAAGATTATCCTTATGATTTAGTAGGGCTTTAGAAAGAGACTGTTTTGTTTAAATTGTGAATACGATCTAGATGATCCGATTCGCCTTTTATGTCGAATTTGTTTTATAGCTGGACCGTATACACTTGAATCGATCTTCATAAAAATCGAATAGTAATGTGCACCCTACCCTAGGGCCAACAACAAAATACTAATATAAAACATAAATATTTCTAAATAGAACAAGTTATGTTAAAATAAGGTTTTGAGGTGAGCTCCGGATAAATGATTAAATTAATTTCCTTTTGTTCTACACAAAGTTTATTTTGAAATAATTATTTCTGTTTACGATTCAGTGCTGTTCAGTTCATCTAGCGATAAATACGCGGCTGAAGTAACGTAACCCGTACATTATTATTATTATTAAATATGTTAGCCAAAGAAGAATCAGTTGAAACCATTTTTTTTTAATCTTAAATCGTACATATCAGGCGAGCAGCGAACTGCCTTCGCCTTCTCCCCGTACGTCTGCGCCGAAGCGGGTGCGCGTCCGCCGCGTCCTCGCGCACCCACTCCGCATCCTCCTTTTGCGACATAACCTCTCCGCAAAAGGAGGCCACCGCCTCCCAGGACTCCTCGCTACCGAGCATCGCGGCAACCACGCTCGGCAGCGAGAGGTCCTGCCCTATTGTCTCCGTCAGGGTACGGCGCTGCTCATCCCACCGGCTGCGCACTCGTGACACGACGGGGACGGTTCCCTCCTCGCCACTTTGTGTAGGTAGTGACCGAAGCAGCCATGCCCGGTCAGCATCTGCACAAGGTGGTACGACAGTGGCCCGTGGGACCGGTTTACCCACTCTACGAGGACAGGACGGATCGCCCCTATGGTACGAGCTCCATAGGGGGATCCGCCAAGCTCTCTTTCCACCGGGCCCGCATGAGCTGCGCCGCAAGGCGGCGCTCCCGCTCGACCTCTTGGGGAGCAGGGCGCTCGCTTCGGTCACTCATTCCCCGCCGGTAGGCGTGGACCTCCACCAGGACCTCGGCTTCAAGGTCCCACGGCGGAGTACTGGCGAGGACGCACGCGGCAGCGCAGGCCACCGTCATGTACGCCCTGCACATTCGCAGGGCGACCACCGTCTGAGGCCTCTTCAGCAGCGATTTTGTCGCCGCTGATAAGGCCCCACTCCAAATGAGGGCCGTATAAGTCCATACTTCGGGTCACCCCGGCGTATAGCCTTCTGCATAGGGCTCCTGGCCTTCCGAGATTGGGCAGGAGCCGACCAAAAGCCGATGCGGCGCCCACTATTCGGAGAGCAAGTTGCCGGAAATGCTCCCCGAAGTTCCATCGCCGGTCCAGGACAAGGCCCTGGTATTTCATCTGGGACCTGACCGGGACCGATACTCCCGCGATGGAGATGTGGGCGCCTGCCGGCACCGCCCAACCTCTACCCCTCCCGCCGAAGATGGCCACATCCGTCTTCGGCACGGCGACCTCGAGCCCCAGCAGTTGTATTCGGCGGACCACCATGTCCGCCGCTACTGAGGCTCTTCGGGCCGCCTCCTGAAAGGTGGTCCCCCGGAAGGCCACCAGCGTGTCATCGGCGTACGCGATGACCGCCGTCCGGAGGATCAGCGCGCCCCTCAGCACCCAATCGTACCCCAGGTTCCACAGTAGGGGTCCTAACACGGACCCCTGGGGTACTCCGCACCTCATTGGGCGCTCGGCGCACCTCCCTTCCCTCGTCTGGAAGAGCACCACCCTGTCCTCCAGGAAATCGTACATATCCTACAATCTCAGTTGATATTAATAGCCATCGCGAGCTCGCGCGAGACCGTGCCATCACCCGCGACATCGCGCGAGGTCGTGCGAGAAATCGTGTTTCCGTTGCAAAGTATA